TATTTCTTGCTGTTTCTATGTCAGTATTGATGTGGAGAGTGTCTGGTTTGCCTACTCTGGAACATGTAACATGGAAATTGTCCTTCTTTAGGGGTCCCTTTCAAATCTATACTATATCTCTCTATGTGTGAATCATTTCTATCTATCTAATCTATGGCTGGATGGCTCTTTGTCAAGAGGGCTTTGATTACGTTTTCTTGCCCTGGTGAAGGGAGTTGGACTGGGTGGCCTTCAGTATGGGGGTTCTGTGTGGGAAGTTTGCCCCAATTCTGTCGTTTGTGGGGTTCAGAATGCTCTTTGATTGTAGGTGAACTATAAATCCCAGTAACTACAACTCCCAAATGTCAATGTCCCCCAAACTCCATCTGTGTCCTTATTTGGGCTTATGGAACATTCGTGCCAGGTTTGGTCCAGATCCATCACTGTTTGAGTCCACAGTCCTCTCTGGGTGTAGGTGAACTACAACTCCCAAACTCGAGGTCAATGGCCTCCAAACCCTTCTAGTATTTTCTGTTTGTCATGGGAGTTCTGTGTGCCAAGATTGGTTCAATTCCATTGTTGGTGGAGTGCAGAATGCTCTTTGATTGTAGAAAGCTGTAATTTCATTGTATTCTAAAAATATTGACAAACAACTTTTCATTTCACAATAATTGTGTTACTATTCCTGACGTCATGAACTAATGAAGAATCTCCTGGAATACAGAAATTGTCGCTCTGGAAGCTCAAGTCTTTTGATGCCTTTAATATATTGATAAGCATCCTTTCATATAAAATGATTACTAATTAGTTTAGTTACTGTTTAATGTAAAATTTCCTGTACTATAGATATTGTGAATTGCAATTTACAATTGTCTGCGTTTGTTTGCTCCATTTACCATGCCAAGGAGCTTTGTTGTCTGGAGACTTCCTCCATATCAAATTACCGGCATGTCCTTATGGGCACCTTTTTATTACCTCTCCGCTTAAAATGGTATTTATTTTTTTTTATTTCTGGTATTTATATCCTGTCTCTTCTCTACCCCAAAAGGGGGACTCAGGATGGCTTACATAGGCAGCAATCTGATGCCGTTACATGAACAATTAATACAATAACCATTAAACAAACCATGAAACCATTAAAATACATAAAATACATAAGCCATTAATTAAACAATATAAAAACATTTGTTACCAAATAGAATCATATCCTCATGTAAATCGCCTTTCCAATCCATTTCCACTAAAGTGCTAATTTATGTCTGCTGACCGAAAGCCTGGTCCCATAGCCATGATTTTACTTTCTTCCTGATCGTATCTTGCTCGGAAGCGCATTCCACAGGCGGGGGCCACCACTGAGAAGGCCCTGTCTCTCATCCCATTTCTCTACTCACATTGCTGTTTATGATCTGTTAGGTGAGCAGAAGCTGGACTGACAGCAGGAGTTGACCCGACCTGGGCTTGAACTGCCAACCTTTCAGTCGGCAAGATTTTCTACAGCTGGAGATTTAACCCGCTGTGCTAAAGCTCGGCCCATGTAATATAAAGTACCATTACAGGTAGATTTAGATATGCTATTAATAAGAGTAATGGGTGATACCAGAATTAAAACAAAATGACAAGAATTGTTCAAAAGTATGACAAGTAGTAATTGGGTGTGGAAAGAGGGAAAAAATGGACAATGGAAAACTGGAATAGTTATGTATTGTCGAAGGCTTTCATGGCCGGAATCACTGGGTTGTTGTAGGTTTTTTCAGGCTATATGGCCATGGTCTAGAGGCATTCTCTCCTGACGTTTCGCCTGCATCTATGGCAAGCATCCTCAGAGGTAGTGAGGTCTGTTGGAAAGTTATGCTCTCCCTTCCTATCGATTTAGTGACTTCCCATCTCTTGAGTTGGAGACATTCCTATATAATTCCATTCCTCCTATTACATTGTTTTTCTATTCTTCCTTCTGAGTCTTGCTTATCTGACATAAACGGGCTGGCAGAATGTAGGCCAAAGCCTGCTAGAGTTAGTGGACCAAAGCTTGTGTTGCCCTGAGGAGAGTGAGTAGGCCAAAGCCTGTTAGAGTCAGTGGGCCAAAGCTAGTGTTGATGTTGGGAGAGTGAGTAGGCCGAAGCCTGTTAGAGTCAGTGGGCCAAAGCTAGTGTTGATGTTGGGAGAGTGAGTAGGCCGAAGCCTGTTAGAGTCAGTGGGCCAAAGCTAGTGTTGCCCTGAGGAGAGTGAGTAGGCCAAAGCCTGTTAGAGTCAGTGGGCCAAAGCTAGTGTTGCCCTGAGGAGAGTGAGTAGGCCAAAGCCTGCTAGACTGAGCGGGCCAAAGCTAGTGTCAGTGTGAGGAGAGAGAGTAGGCCAAAGCCTGCTAGAGTCAGTGGGCAAAAGTTAGTGTTGCCCTGAGGAGAGTGAGTAGGCCGAATCCTGTTAGAATCAGCGGACCAAAGCTCGTGTCGTCCTGAGGAGAGTAAGTAGGTCAAAGCCTGTTAGTCAGTGCCAAAGCTAGTGTCAGTTTGAGGAGAGTAGGCCGAAGCCTGCTAGAGTCAGTGGACCAAAGCATGTGTTGCCCTAAGGAGAGTGAGTAGGCCAAAGCCTGTTAGAGTCAGTGGGCAAAAGCTAGTGTCGGGGAGAAGAGAGTGAATAGGCCGAAGACTGTTAGAGTCAGTGGGCCAAAGCTCATGTTGCCATGAGGAGAGTGAGTAGTACAAAGCATGCTAGAGTCAGTGGGCCAAAGCTAGTGTTGGTGTGAGGGGAGTGAGTAGGCCGAAGCCTGCTAGAGTCAGTGGACCAAAGCTAGTGTTGCCCTGAGAAGAGTGGGTAGTACAAAGCCTGTTCGAGTCAGTGGCCAAAGCTTGTGTCATCCTGAGAAGAGTGAGTAGTACAAAGCCTGTTGAGAGTCATTGGACCACAGCTAGTGTTGGCATGAGGAGAGTGAGTAGTTCGAAGCCTGTTAGAGTCAGTGGGCCAAAGCTAGTAAACTTTAGTATGAGAAAATCATCATGTGAGAAAGCTCCGGTGTGAAGGCTGCTGTGTGTAAAGCTACTGTGCATTTGTTTATTTGTGTTATGGAAACCACAGATGCAGGCGAAACGTCAGGAGAAATGCCTCTAGAACATGGCCATATAGCCCGAAAAAACCCACAAGAACTGAGAAACCTTGTTGTTGCAAATTGTGCAACCATATTTTACTACAAAGAATAGCCTCCTATGGAAGAGATATCATTGCTCTGTGTGTGTTTTGTTCATTTTATCACTTTGGGCTCCGGGTGCTGGGTACGCTGCTGCTAATTAAGTTACTCTGCTATATGTTTATGAGGAGGGTGTTTTGTTAATAAGCTCACTCTCCTAACAAGCTGGTATTGCACTTCCAGATATCCACCAGGAAATAGCAGCCAGTAATGAAAGGTCTAAGGCAGTGGTTCTCAACCTTCCTAATGCCACGACCCCTTAATACAGTTCCTCATGTTGTGGTGACCCCCAAATCATAAATTATTTCCGTTGCTACCCCATAATTGTAATTTTGCTATTGTTGTAAATTGTAATGTAAATACATGGTATGCAAGATGTATTTTCATTCACTGGACAAAATTTGGCACCAATACCCAATACGCCCAAATTTGAATACTGGTGGGTTTGGGGGGGGGGGGTGGGTTGATTTTGTCATTTGGGGGTTGTAGTTGCTGGGATTTATAGTTCACCTACAAACAACGAACATTCTGAACTCCACCAACAATGGAATTGAACCAAACTTGGTACACAGAACTCCCATGGCCAACAGAAAATACTGGAAGAGTTTAGTGAACATTGACCTTGAGTTTTGGAGTTGTAGTTCACCTACATCCAGAGAACACTGTGGACTCAAACAATAATGGATCTGGACCAAACTTGCCACGAATACTCAACATGCCCAAATGTAAACACTGGTGGAGTTTGGGGAAAATAGACCTTGACATTTGTGAGTTGTAGTTGCTGGGATTTATAGTTCACCTACAATCAAAGAACATCCCCAAACCCCAACGATAGAATTGGGCCAGACTTCCTACACAGAACCCCCTTGACCAACAGAAAATACTGTGTTTTCTAGTGGTCTTTGGTGACCCCTTTGACACCCCCTCGCAACCCCTCCGGGTGTCCCGACCCCCAGATTGAGAAACACTGGTCTAAGGCATTGACATCTCCAGCCCATCATCTGTTCGGATATCAGCCAGCATGCCAATGACTTAAATCAAGAAACAGCTTCCTAAAATCTATAGAGACACTCGTAGGAACATCTCAGCAAGCGAGAGTCCAAAAGTGGCAGGATAAAGCCAGGAACCTCAATCAGTGGCTGATACTGCATGAGAGGCTCCCTCCTGGGCACACAGATGACTGGGCAACTTAGAAGGTGCTGAACAGTTTGGCACCACGAGACACAGAGCCAATCTTCAGAAATGGGGCCACAAAGTTGAGTCCGTGACATGCGAGTGCAGAGAAGAGCAAACCATAGACCACTGACTACAATGCAGTCTGAGCCCTGCCACATGCACAAAGGAGGACCTTCTTATAGCAACACTAGAGGCACTCCAAGTGGACAGCTTCTTGTCAAAGAACATTTAATATCATGCCAAGTTTTTAACTTTGTTTGTGGTTTTAAAAATATTATAGCTGTATTCTCAATTTGCGTCTAACACAATATATAAAATCTGTAACACACTGTTATTTGGTACGGAATGAAATATATTATCATTCAAAACACACATTGAGTGTTTCCAGCGAGGTGTCACCCACCCGGCCCTCTGCACATGCTGAGGAGCTGCCTCCCAATTCCAGGTGCCCACCACTTCTGCTCTTTGTCAATCTGGGACCGAAGTTGCCTCTTGCTCCTTTTCTTGCTCCTTTTTGGAGGCCGTTCTTGACTCCTGTCTGCTACTGGCTGGGTTGGCTGTGAAGAGGAGAAGGAGGAGGAGGCTGCTTTGCTTTGCTTTGCCTTGCCTTGCAGCTCCCTCCTTGCTGTGGTCAGTCTTGAAACAGTTCTTCTCTTTGCATTTACAGATTGCTAAACCGCCGGCTGGGATTGTATGCCTTTTGCTGCTCTCTCTAAAAGGAGAAAAAAGGACCCCTTGTATCCTCTAGATAGAAACTCAATCCGGATCCACATCGCATCTATCATGAGGTGAGTGTGATGCTTTATCATTTCCGATGCTGGAAACAGAACCAGGCAAAGCAAAACTCTTGCTTCTCTATCTTCTTCTCTTTCTCTTTCCTTCCTCTCTTCTCTTTCTACCACTTTCCCTCCTCCTTTCCTTCTTCTTCTTCCACATATATATACACACATACACAATTTCTCATACATATATATATATAGGCATTAGAAAAAGAAAAAAGAAGAATTGCATCAGTCTTTTGGCAGCAAAGGAGGAGGAAAAAAATCACTGGAACTTTTTCCTCTTCTCTTTTCTCATTCACGCTTGCAACCCAAATGAAAAGACTTTATTTTTTGCAGAAAACCAGCCCCAGGGATGCGTCTCTGAAGTATTCGAGTTATTTGGAAATGAAAAAAGAACAAAAACAGTTGGGTAATATCCATCTTTCCGCTGGGATGGATTAAGGTCCGGATTTGCAGAAAGAGAGAGGGGAAACCGGGTACCAAAAAGGGTCTTGGTTTGGGACGTTTGGGAAAAAAGGGGGGTCCTTGGAGATGCCAGAAACCCTCCTTTTGACCCCAAGGAAGCAAAGTCTTTGGAAAGTAAGGAGTTAATGGTTTCTTCTCCTCCTTTCCTCGGCATCTCTTGGATTCATCTGCAAAAAATAAAACAGTGAAGATAGATTTGATCATCTGTTGAGCAGAAAAGCCGCCTTTGATCTGAGAGATGCCTCCTCACTTTCTTTCCATGTCTCTGTCTTTTGGGCTTTTAACCTCTTTCCTTTAACCCTTCTCCTCTTCCTGGCTGCAAGCTCCGCTCCTGGATTGAACCAGAACAATATCAATGCACAGGATTAATTCAAGGTGTTTGGACTTGAATCGGTTTGCTCTTGACATTAAGCAAAGGGTTGATTCCTAAGGAAACTGATGCTGGAAATGGGAGCAAAGGAAGGGCAATTCTACTTGTTGTCACTGTGGATTATAATTGAATGTACCGCTTTCTAAAATTAAATAGCTGGAAGTGAGAGTGCAAAAGATGCCATTTCCAAAGTGCTTCGGGCCATGTGAAGTCTTTGGGTGGCCTTTGAGTTGCGTCTCTTTGGAAGTGACAAAGTTGGTTGGAGTTTGGCACAGTTGGGTTGCACTGCAGACCGAATGCACATTGGCCCCTCTTTGACTGCCATGGCTCTAATGCTGTGGAATCCTGTGAGTTGTAGTTTTACAAGGTCTTTAGCTTTCCTTTGCTGGTGTCACACAGAACTACAACTCCCAGGATTCCATAGGATTGAGCCATGGCGACAGTGGAAGCTCCTTCTTTGGAAGCTTTTAAACAGAGGCTGGATGGCCATTTGTCAGGGGTGCTTTGAATGCAATATTCCTGCTTCTTGGCAGGGGTTTGGACTGGATGGCCCATGAGGTCTCTTCCAACTCTATGATTGTATGATTCTAAAGGGGAGTCACATTGCATTCATTCCACAGCACTGAAGAGTACAGTGCCAAACACCCTTCTCCTTCCTTTTACACTGAGCATGTACAGAGTCTCTTTGGAAGCGTCAAAGTTGGTTGGAGTTCGGCACAGTTGGGGTTGCATTGCAGACCAAATGCACGTTGGCACTTTAACTGCCATGGCTCTAATGCTATGGAATCCTACAAGTTGTAGTTTCACAAGGTCTTTGGCTTTGCTTCTCTGGTGCTACACCAGAAGTCCCAGGATTCCATATCATTGAGTCATGGCGGTCAAAGGGGAATCACACTGCATTCATTCCACAGTGTGCCACATACTCTTCTCCTTCCTTTTACACTGAGCATATACAGAGTGTACAACCATTGAAGTTCTGATCTGTCTGAAGGTGCTCAGTTTTGAGACATGAGTGTATAATCTGCACCAGGTTTGATGTCAAGTTGCTTTTCGGTGTTTAGGACAGCAGGGAGGTCATAGTTTTTGTGTGTTTCCATGTGAATCCCAATAAAGTCAGCCTGGATATAATGAGTTTGAATTAAGTCTGATTCAAGCTGTGGGAGTGAGCCTTTGAGATCAGTTGTAGCCAGCCAGGATTAGTTCTGCAGTAGGTTTTGTATCTGAACTGGCTGGAAGTGTTGTTGTTGTTCTTCAGTAGTTTTTGTATCTGAACTGGCTGGAAGTGATGTTGTTCTGAGGTAGGTTTTGTATCTCAACTTGCTGGAAGTGATGTCGTTGTTCTGCAGTAGTTTTTGCATCTGTCTGGAAGTGTTGTTGTTGTTGTTGTTGTTCTGCAGTAGATTTTGCATCTGAACTAATTTGGAAGTGATGTTGTTGTTGTTCTGCATTAGGTTTTGTATCTGAACTGGCTGGAAGTGATGTTGTTATTGTTCTGCAGTTGGTTTTGCATCTGAACTAATTTGGAAGTGATGTTGTTGTTGTTCTGCAGTAAGTTTTGCATCTGAACTGGCTGGAAGTGACAATGTTGTTGTTATTGTTGATTGCCTTCAAGTTGTTTCTGACTTATGACAACATTTGGCTTTTGAAGCTGAGAGAGTGTGATTCATCCAAGTTCAAGGTCTCTAGTTATAGTCCACTCCTGGTATGACGTGATTTCCATCTTCTCATGACAAGGAAAAGGCCTCCTGCCCCTTTAAGGAAGGCATCCCTTTAAGTGACTTTCCAGTTGCATCTTCTATTGCGGTTTGCCAGGTTTCTTTTGAATAGTAGACTTTTTTCCTTTTTGAAAGGAAAGGGTGGTTGCAACATTCAAGGATTCCCTCTTGCTTTGCTTCCCACTCAACTATGCACAATGGGAATGGTATCTGCAGGCATAGACTATTTTGGGAGTTATAGTTTCAATAGTCAATGGTGGCAGTTGTCTTTTAGTTTTGTAGTACGTCCTCAGCTCTATATCATGGCATTTTCATGGAGTTAGCATTGGGCCTCTGAGGCTGAGAGAGTATGACTTGTCCAGTGCCACCCAATAGATGTCCAAGGATGTGCAGGATTCGAATCCGGTCTACAGAGTTGACTCACCTCCAAAAAGTTCAACCTCTATCACGGCGCCTTTAAAGTTTGGACTAAAACCCGGAGTGGATGTGTCGCCTTACTGTCAATGAAAAAAATAATGAAGCAAAAGGGTTATAAAAGCAAATGCTAAATGGACAGCATCTCTCACTCTCAGCAATGTTGAATTCTTGATTTTTTTACAAAATCCTGTTTATTATTTATTCGCATCCAGAATTGTGGTGTCGTTGTTAGGGAAAAGATAGAGAGCATCTACAGTGTAGAATTGATGCAGTCTGACCCCACTTTAACTGCTACCGGATCCTGGGAGTTGTAGTTTGGGGATATACAAGCACTCTTCGGCGTCAAACCACAACTCCCAAGATCACATTGCATTGAGCCAGAGCAATAAAAATGTATTAATTCTACAATGTAGGCAACTAAAGAACTCTAAAGACCTTGTAAAACTACAACTCCTGGGATTCCATAACATTGAGTGGTGTCAAGTGGTGTCAAGCTGCATTCATTCATTTGACAGTGTAGATCAGCGTTTCTCAACCTGGGGGTCGGGACCCCCGTGGGGGTCGCAAGAGAGTGTCAGAGAGGTCTCCAATGACCACCAGAAAACACAGTATCTTCTTCTGATCATGGGGGTTCTGTGTGGGAAGTTTGGCCCAATTCGGTCGTTGGTGGTGTTCATAATGCGGTTTGATTTTAAGTTTAGCCCAATTCTCTCATTGTTGGAGTTCAGAATGGCCATTGATTGTAGGTGAACTATAAATCCCAGCAACTACAACTTCCAAATGTCAAGGTCTATTTTCCCCAGACTCCACCACATTTGGGCATCTTGAGAATTCATGCCAAGTTTGTTCCAGATCCACCATTGTTTGAGTCCACAGTGCTCTCTGGTTGTAGGTGAACTTCAACTCCCAAACTCAAGGTCAATGCCCACCAAGCCCTTCCTGGATCTTCTGTTGGTCATGGGAGTTATGTGTGCCAAGTTTGGTTCAATTCCATCGTTGGTGGAGTTAAGAATGTTCTTTGATTGTAGGTGACCTATAAATCCCAGCAACTACAACTCCCAAATGACAAAATCAATCCCCCCAACCTCACCAGTATTCAAATTTGGGCATATCGAGTATTTGTGCCAAATTTGGTCCAGTGAATGAAAATACATTCTGCAGATCAGATATTTACATGATGATTCATAACAGTAGCAAAATTACAGTTATGAAGTAACAATACAAATAATGTTATGGTTTGGGGCTCACCACAACATGAAGAACTGTATTAAGGGGTCGCGGCATTAGGAAGTTTGAGAAACACTGGAGTAGATGGACCCAAAGAGAGATCCAAGTGATGTTATTAACCCAGATCAATTCCCTAAATCATTCTTTGCCTACCTCGCAGGGTTGCTGTTTGGGGGATTATGGAAGTTGTAATCCCAAAGAGTCATATTTTTGTCCAATGTATGAGAAAAACACTCGTGGATTGATGAGCCTTTGGCAATGACCTTGCAGTGTCTTCTTTCTTTCTTTCTTTCTTTCTTTCTTTCTTTCTTTCTTTCTTTCTTTCTTTTTGCCTTCCGGTGGATCAGGTATGCTTCCCGCAGTGTTGTCTTTTTCGCCTGTGGGCCTCTGGCAATTCTGTGTGTGCTGGAAAAGTGTCATAAATTACTCCTCGCAGAAATTAATTTTGTATTTTATTTTCCAAACGTCTGCTGCTGGGAACCGAGCCGGGGCCTATGAGGCCGAGGGAAAGATTCTGTTTCCTCAATTAACTCGGGTTTCCCTTCCACCCTCTGACAAACGGAAGAAGGCCGGCGGCTGCTTTTGGGCCTCTGGGTTTGCCAAAGTGCCAGCTTTGCAATGTATGGAGGGGGAAACAACGTCTGAGCGCCTTAAGCTGAAGAAGTCTGAGGCTTTGGGGCTTTGGGGCTTCACTCTTACTTGAACCCTTTCTTCACTCTTTCCTGACTTCACTATTTGTTTACGTCCACACTGTGGAGTCAACACAGTTTAGTGGCCATGGCTCAATTCTATGCAAACCCAGGAGGTCTAGT